TAATCATGGTTTCCACATAAGGCGTCACATTTTACCAATCAAGGTTAAACGTTTAAAAACCTTTCGCACAAAGAAAACGAACAATCGAATAAAGCGAGAATAATGGCGAATAATTAAAAAAAATAACGTGACCTCGATGACGTCAGTGGAACGGGATGAAAAGAGAAATTCGAATGTCGGGACAAAGGCTTTATACAAATTTAGTAAAAAAATGAAACCTTTTTAAATAAAAATACTGGCTGAATATACATTTTTAAAATAAAGTTTTAGATTTTGTTACAGAATATTAATGCATTTTAATTAAGAAGTCGGCTCGGCTTTATTAAGTCTTAATTAAACCAATAACCTTCATAATAAAGTAAAGTAAATTATAACATATAACAATACGTGTTGTACTTTTTGTGATAATGGAATAAAATAATAAAAATACCGTTTAACAATATGAAGGTCGGTTTCATATTTCACAACAAATGTATTGTGAAATACCAAGCATTGATTTCGTCATATTATCATTTACGGATCAAACACATTCAAGTGGCAAGAGAATAGAACAAATAAAGAGAAAAGCAAACACTAATGTGTATCTTTCGTCGTAAAACATCAAATGGCATTATGTTCAATGCTGTTCACCTTTATTTTCACTATATAAAATGACTAGTCTATGGTAATAATTAATCTGTATAATAAAGCTAGAGGGAATAGACAACGCGAAGGTCCCTGCTCTCTCTCGGCAGACGCGCGCTGACTCACTCGGCCGCACGCTTCCGCCTGATAGCAAGGTCACCGGCCGCCGCGCACACAGACAACACACGCACACAGACACACGTGAAAGTAGTGAGAGTACACTCGCGCACGATATTCATTTTATAAATTTCGCATCATACTATTATACCTGTCTTTCTGTTGTAATCTGATATATATATATTTTCGATGAAAAAAAAAACGATGTACGTGAGTGTAATGTGTTTTAAACTTCTAAAAATTAATGACGTTTATTTAAATTCGATTGATTTAACACAATGAATTTATAGTAGTTCAGAATGAATTTTTATAATAATTTTCCTATTCATTAAATTAACATCTATCAGTTTTTTTTATATATGACCTTTCTAACAATTTCTTAGCTTGCTTTGTCTTCTATATGTACAATACAAATAAACTAGTGTGCGTAACGCACGAAAAACATGACACAGATTTGGTATTTCCGACTTATCTATGCATTTACATCTCGATTCATAAAGCGCCAACCTCTATATGTCCCAATGCGAGCTATACGAACCTTTCTCTTAGAGAGAACACAAATCGTTATATAGATTTTTCTAATGTGGTTTGGAAGTTCATGACATCTACTCTAGAATATGAAGAACATGCAGTACCTTGTGTTTATTATAATTAGGGTTTATGAATTTATTAAATGTCGGAAACACTTTTATGAAACTTCGCATTACAAACTGCGCGGTTGTTATGATATTACTAATGCAAGTGGCAGTCAATATAAAACTATAAACACATCTTTTTTATATGTAATTTACAAGTCAATAAAATGGCACATATAAAATTTTATTCTTACGATATAGACTAGACATCAAGGCAAAGGCGTCCGAATGCCAAGAGAGTGTCAAAACAAGTCTATTTCTGCTATTATAACATTCGGGATCGAGTACACGACTTGCAATTGTTTTAACTAGGTGCAAAGAAGATGGCAAAATGACTCTGAATCTTTTTTAAAAAAAAAGCGATACGATGTTTTTATATCGGTGTTAGGGCTGTGGAAAATCTAAAAAACGGCACTAACCGTTAGTTTCTGAGTCTACAATCTCTGCGCATAACATATCGTCAACCCTGTTATCTTTGACAAAACAGAGATAACAATATATTTTAAATGGGAATTAAGGTATTAGAAGCCCACGGTAAGTTACTTATCGATGATATGATATAAAAATAATTCTACTACTTATATGTTGATTTAATTAAGACCACGGCGATTAATCAATTCCATCCGGCATAAACAATAAGACCGGTACTGTTTCGACATTTTGTAATGCAACTAACACTGTTAGGTGCGGCTTGGTTAATGCAGATGTTGTTAAGATAACGAAATTTATTGCGATAATATTAAATTAGTATTTAATAGTCGATGATGTAATTTAGTAATTATCCTATAACTATTAAGTTATAATTACAACTAGTGTACCTAAACTACTGAACAGATTTTAATAAAACTTTGTCAGCTATGTGTTGGCCGACAATTTATTCCCTAAAAATATAATGTATGTAATTGTCTTCAAGGTATATAGAAAATTTTTACTTGCGTTGAAATTTGACTTTGACAAGTTTAGTCAAATCTATATATATAAAAGAAAGTCGTGTTAGTTACACTATTTATAACTCAAGAACGGCTTTACCGATATGGTTGAAAATTGATGAGGACGTAGCTTAGAGCCAGGAGACGGACCAGGACTAGGATTTTCAAATTTATGCCTTGAAGAGCTACTTTTTATTTGACTTATTTATATATTAAGTTTTTTTTATATATCCACGCGGTCGGAGTCGCGGGCGACAGTATTTAAATAATTTTAATTCGTTATCTTTTTATGAATTACTTTTTTTTATTAAGCCATGCATACAACATGAATAGGTTATTAAAATCATGTTTAGAAGTCACGCTACCTTCGTGTGTATTTAAATTGCCCTAGATCTACCGTACAATTACCGCCCACGTAAACAAAGGTAAGTTGTGAGTTGTGACTGACTGACGAAATTGTTAGCATGCCCGAGGGCGTGTCTGCTCTAGCCATAGACGATGTGTTATGACTCAATTCCCGCCATAACTAGGGCTGCCAACTTCACTAAAATAAACCCAAATGCTGCCGCGAAAATAAAGACAACGATTTGTGTTGTCAACTCTGCAATCATTATTGGATGACAACGACATCGATTGACTGTTTTACATTGTTCGTTTTTACCACAAGACATAGATGAAAAATTCTAAATCCTGAGTCTGAATATTTCTATGAAAATCCGAGGTGGCAGCCCTAACCATAACTGTTACTATGGTACACATAAAAACATACTGGTAAACAAAGAGTGATGGTGTTATTTACGATTTTTTTGTCTGCTCCCTTCTTAAAGTGCATTTAAGAATTAACTAGGTAAAGAAAGGCAACTAATACATAAGGTCAAGTCGACTATATTCAGGCTTTTTTTTAATTCTTGACTCACTCGGATGACTTTATTTGAACTCAGGACTGCAAGATCGCCGTTCCATACTCCGTAACCTTACCTATTAGGCTATTGGTACTTCAAAGCTCAATAGAGGTCAACTAGTATGTTAATCTTTTTACATATAAATATATAGACGTATCTAAAGAGCAAAACATAGACAAGGTCACATTTATAGTATCTTTGGTTTGTTTACGGTGAATTTTTGCGAAGTTAATAATAACATGTAAAAAATTATGAACCAGCAAAACTTTTCTGACGTAAATGCCAACAATATCAGATAATTCATTAATTCGATTGTGTAATCAAGCACTCCCTGTAAATTACAGATATGAAAAAAATCGATACTAAGTTCAATAAAAAAAAAAACAATTTATTACTAACGTACCTAGTCTTATAAGAACTTGTCACATGCAATAGAAAATCTTTAGTAAATATTTATAAGTCCCAAATGAAAAAGAACCTACAAATATGTGTGCATTTTACATTTATATTGTGTATTTTGTATTACTCATATCAAAACTTTATCTGATGGATATCTGTAAGACAGATTGTATAAATTAATTAGTCGACCATAGACATTTTTTTATTTATTTCAACGGAATTAAATTTAATTCTTGAAGAAAATATTTAAACATTAGAAACATAAACAGTTCAACAGACTATACACGTTTGTTTACAATTGTTGTGTCAAAATGAAGCCGATGATTCAAATATGTAGTTTCTGCTAGAAATATGTTATACCGTTACCTCGCATGTGAACGCTACCTATTACGAACTGTACTACATTTTAAGGTTTTATGACATAAAATAACAAAAGATATTTTTTCGTCGAACATGCGTTATTTAAAATACTTAGGTCCAAATCACTTCAAGACTTCTGTAGTTAATTTATTTATCCATAATTAAACAAGAAAAAAAAATTGCGATTTTTAACCATAATTAAAATTAAATTGGTTTTTATTATTTTTAAATGCAATCACTTTAGTACTCGACTGTAAAGTCAAACAACGTAGGGCTCGAAGTGAGACGCGAGCGGCGCCGCGAGGGGGTGAGCACCCTCCGTCACGTGACCAGCGACCTTCAGCCGGCGCACCGACCTTGAGCGCCGCCCGCCCCGCGCGGGTCAGAGGTGAATGCACGCCGTCGAGCGAGCGACCGTCCCGCGCCCCTCGCCCCACGACCGCGCTCGCGACGCCTCCTAATGCCTGTGCCCATGCCCAATGCCACTCACCTCGCCGCTGTCCGCACCACCATGCCAGCAACCGCCTAGGCGCCGCCGACCTTCGCCATCGCTCCGGCCTCAACGATCCTCCCGTCGCCGACAGGTACGGGGGCGACGCGGCACACCTTTCCCATAAAATATCACCGACAAGTTTATTGACATCGAGTCTCCCGTAAGATTGTGCAAAAGTTAACGCAACAAACACATGCACCAAAAATTAAACAAAGAAACACTTATTTTTTCCTCAATCCAACCAACTGTTCACTCAAAAAATACCTATTTACTAATGAAAAAACATTGATCACGATTTGTGAATGCGATAGCGAACACACCATGTCCTCTCACCTCCGCAAAACAAAGCGGAATAAAATAAACTCGCTCGACGAGCTGACATCTCGCGAGTCACAACGGCTAACAAAGTACTTTGCTTGACATCTAGCGGCTTTAAATCGCACTAATTAGTGAAGATTTATCGCTTACAGTAAAGATAAATAAAATGTAAATATGATTACGATTGTTTAATAAAAAATGGAAAAATCCTGAATTAATTAAGTTCATTTATGAATGACTTAAATTAAGCAATTTCATAAATATAAAGTTTGTATAATCTGTCGCGCGCTGTCAAATTATTTTATGTCAAAGTCAAACAGACATCAGCTGTCAGCTGCTGTGTGACAAATATGTATTGCACGTACTGTTTGTTTTATTTTATTTTGTAATAAAATTCCCTGGTGACGTATTTATTTGTAAAGTATCCTGAAGTGTTATAAAAAGTGCGTTAATGTAATAATCTTTCAAAAGATATATGAAGTGCAATTGTGGACTCATCTTTTCATAGTTGACTCATTAATTAAAGAAATATTATTCGTTCTCAAGGCCGTATCAATAATCGTATTATTAGTGAAGTATTATGAGAAATACTGAACATAATGGTAGAGGATAATGAGCGTGAATATGGACGGAGCGTTAATAAGAATGTTCTATTGAAAATTGTGATTTTGGGCGATGGTGGGGTCGGAAAATCATGTTTAATGAGCAGATTCATTTCAAATCACTTTGACGATCATAATTTTCACACAATTGGTGTAGAATTTATGAATAAGACAACAGAAGTCAATGGCACACAATACACATTACAGGTATGTAAAAGTTTTTTTTTCTATTCTTGAGTGTTGTCTACCTGAAAATATTGCTTGTGTGTCTTTAAATTTCTAGTAGATAACTTTATAGTAAAGAGACTAATTTTATTATAAATTAGCCATAGAAAAGGAGCTTTATGAATGATGTAATGTGAGTTGCCTTCATAACTATTAACAGTTAGACTAATATGTAAACCTCAAATAAATATAAGAACAAGATATTCAGTTTCAAGGTTGCTTTATCTGTATGCATAAGTGATTGTTTATAACAGATAACATACAATTTTCTTATCTTATCCTACATTTTGGGAGGTCTACATGGATTTGACACAAAAATAACTGCTGTATTGTAAAAAATAAAAATAGGCGCTAGATCTCAACCTATCAATCTGAGTTATTGGTATTAGTTATGTTTTATTGACTTACTAGGTCCCCGGGAAATTAAATAAAACTGAGTAGTCTATGTGTTCTTCCAGACTGTAATCTAAATATATGTCAAATTTTATCATGATCCATCAATACATACATCCATTTAAACATTTTCATTTATAATATTAATAATATAGTAAGCAGTAAGATTAATTATCAATTCAACATGTAATTATACATAACCTTCGTACTTCCATACCTGATGACCTAGTCTAAAATTGAGCTATCTCACCTTAGCATTTCAATATAGCTATTCAAGGTAACTATCTATTAATATTGTTACAAAACTGTTACAGCATCATTCAATGTTAATTCATATCCAATTGTTATTGTTCAATTTAAATATTATTGTAACTACAATAGAAACCTTGATACAATGTTAGTTTTAATAGACAAAACAGTAAACAAAATGCAAAATCAATCATTTTCTTATCATCAGTTTTCGAGACCAAAATCTCTGTTTTAAAAGATCATCATTCCTATCATTGACAATACAGAGATAAGAATGTTTTAAACGGGGATTTTAAACTCAGAATCCCGTATTTAGTAGTATATATTGTTACAATCTTATTAAGTAAATCCCCTTGTTTTGCTGACTTATTGTTAAGTCCCTGTAGAAGCTCGTATTATGTTTTTATAATGTTTTTCACCAATCTAAGTATGTACACTCATAGCTAAAAAGTCCCCATAGAATTTGCCAATATCGAAGAGTAGTCAATTGTCTTTGTGCAGTTAAATGTATATTACAAGAACAATGTATATTAAGAGAAACAAAACAGCTAACCGGGCACTAGAATGTGCTTAAGCTTATTTGATTGTTTAAAAAGATGCTTTAAATAAGAGACAAGCACATCAGCCATAAGGAACAAAAATGTATTGCCTATGCCCATAAACATTGGCATAGGATCAGATCATTACTGATTTTTAAAAGGTTATCACTTTATAGACTATATGACATTGTCTCCCTACCACTGGGTAGTCTGGTCATCATAGTATCTGTTGAAGCAAGACAGATAGATTAGTTTTTGCTAACATTGTAATTTCTCTTGCTCGCACACTACTCTAACATGAAAACTAATGTGGAAACTGGAAGCGAAGCCATGATAAAAGACTATTAAGATTATAATATATTTCAGATATGGGATACGGCAGGTCAGGAGAGGTTCAAGTCGCTCCGCACGCCGTTCTACCGTGGCACGGACATCTGCATCCTGGCCTACGCGGTGGACGACCGCAGCTCCTTCCAAAACATCAAGATGTGGCTCAATGAGTTCTTGCATTACGCTGGCGTTAAGAACGGAATCGAGAAGTTTCCATTCATCGTTGTGGGGAACAAGGTATTCTTCGGTGTATAGAAACTAGCTGTCGCCCGCGACTCCGTCAACATGGAATTTATAAAAAAAACTTAAGTAGTATGTCTTTTTCCAGGCTACATTCAACATCTATGCTAAATATCAGCGAGATCCATTGAGCTGTTCTGGATATACCTTCCAACCATCATCCTTTTATCCATCCATACATCCTAACATTTGCATTTATGTATATTATATATCTATATAATAGTATGTTTTAACTATGGAAAATATCTAAGACTTCTACTGCCCGTCAGTAAAATTTAGCTGTGCTTCATTTAAAATCATTTTTCTTTCTTCTCTTTCCAGTCAGATGTATCATCAAAAGACAGGGAAGTGACATATGATCAGCTGCGGCAGTGGTGCGAAGACAATAAAATAGGAACATACATAGAAACCTCCGCTAAAACTGCAAACAATGTGGTTGAAGCGTTTTCCATGGCTGTGCAAAGGTAAGCGTTTTATTTTTTTAATTTTAACACATTCAATGCCACTATGTTGGTAATAAAATGACCCTCACCAGATGAGAGGCACTAAACATGTTAATAATTAAATTTAGCTTGTAACTGCATTCCAATAGTTCTCTGTTTATAATTCTATGGTATGGAGTAATAAATATAAAACGTGACTATGGGCCTTTTTTAAATATTTTATTAAGAAATAGTCGTATGTGTTTGCGTGTACAAATGAATATAAAAAATAATTGAAATGGTTATGTTTGCTCATTAGTACATACCATAAATGATTGATTAAAAAACCGAATAACGCCATCTAGTGGCGGAAAAAAGTTGATTAAACTTTACCAAATTTTTTTTAGATTTTTTTATTGCTATAATTGTGTGAAAAGTAATGTAAAAAATAATAAGATTGAATGTGTATGGCTACAAAGGTAGAGGAAGACCAAAGAAAGTATGGATTTTGTGAAAGAGGATATGCGTAAGGAAGCGGTGGATTCAGATATGACGGCTGATAGAGATGTATGGAGGAATAGTACGGGGCGACCCTCTATTATTATAAGGACAGGTTGATGATGATAGCTATAATTGTATTAGGTGGCTAAAAACTTATAATTAATTGTTACGGTTGTAACAGATGGGCAGATCTAGAACAGAAAGCGGAGAAGGAACTGAGAATGCTACATCATCCTGACACGGTGACATTACAGGGTGGTAACACTATGTCAGGTCTGCGTGCGACTTGCTGCTCACGTTTTAGCAACGTATGATATGAGAACCTGCGGGTCTACACAAAGTACATTGGGTCCCGAGCAATTTCATAATGAACTTCAAATATCTATAGAACTGACTACAACTTTCCATAAGTCACGTGATTGCATGTCAGTTTCAAGCAATTTTGAAATTCGCTATAAAATCGCTTCAAAACGAATGTACTTTATCTAGCACTTTGATGCTCGACAATCATGTTACTTATCCAAATGTATTGTCAGTTCTATACAATTTTGAAGTTCTTTATGGAATCGCTTCGAAGCGAATGTACTTTGTTTAGCTTTGACATGGAATTCTTTACAATTTGACATACTTGAATACCAGTATTGGTTTTAAATTATAAAATGCATCATAAGTTTTTTTTAATAATACTGATAAACAGATAGTACTGGTAAGGGATATAAATTAAGTGAACATAGCTTTTTACTTAGCAAAAAAAATGCAGCAGATCTGATATAAACATAATTTCCGTCCTAACAATGGCTTAAATCATCAGTCGGTCAATAGAAATAATTATTATAATAAGAATATATAGTTTCTTAAACATAAAGTAATTTTCATAAGACCGTGGCATACTCTATGGATAGAAAAATACATACATATTTGTTATTCGCTAAAACCTTTTTGTTGGCAATAGAATAAAACCCTCAGCGCAAAACCTTAAGTGACCATATATTTTTTTTTTGGTGCGATGTCTTTAAATACAAAAATGTGTATACTTTTGTATACTCAGTGTTCTAGACAGTGTGACTAAAAGATACATATGGCACCTAAGGTGTTAAAAAAATGATTTTTTTTTTTTACAAAAGTTCATTATTTCTGTACATTGCTAATATTATTTATAATCTAATTTGTACTCTTACCAATATATTTATCACGGTCAAGATATCACAGCTTGATACCAACTTTTAGCAATAAATTCTAAATGATTTAATTAAATTAATTATGTACTTTTTTTTTAAATTACTAATTGGTTGTGAACTATTTTTTGTATGATCTTGATATTTGATTCATAGATCTTACATGTTTTTTATTATTTTATAATTTAGTGGTACATTTTATTTATCTACCTCTTGCAGTTTAACATTCCAAATATATAACTGTTCATTTATTGAGTTTTTTTACGCCTATTTTTTAAATTAAGTGTCCAATACAGAAGTATTAAAAAAACAACCGTTGCACTATAATGGAATTGTATGAATTCAAATATTTTAGGTATTCAATGTTACCAACTTTAAATATATGATTACCAACATTACCAAAGAGGTATTTATTTATGTGATATAATTTATATACTGAAAAATAAGCATTTTTTATTTATTAAATGCAATAAATTGGTTGTTATCTTGTAAAAAAAATTATAAATTATGAAATGAATTTTTTTTTGTGCCTTAAAATTTAACTGGTTATAAAAAAAACTAGACTGTATTAATTCACATCTTAGGATATTTTTTAAATATGAGTTATATTTCCCTTTACATTTATGGATTTTACTTAATTGTTTTGTTTGTAAAATGCTATTTTTGCTGTATTTATTTTTATTTAAATCGGATTAAATTGTCTTGTACACATTTTACCTTTGGTATTATAATAAGGGCCTTAAATTTATCCGCTGGCTTACTGTAGTTATTTGTAGTATTAATAATAATTATTTTAAAAGCTATTGATGTTGCGTTTCAAATAAGAATGTTCTTTGCCATTAAACGATGTATCAAAACCTACTAAAAATGTACAGATTATAAAAAAAATAATTTGAAGATTGAGTTTTGAAATGCAAATATTTTTTTAATCTGTGTAACTGATCCAACCACGTCACATTATGGCGCGAGTTGCACATTCTTATTTGAAACGTGGTAATTTTTAAGTGCCTATTTAGATTTTAAAATTTAATTTTAATATAACTTTAGGTTGTAGATCACAGTTTAAAGTTAAATATAGCAGTTAATTCTAACTATAAAAGTCTCCATTTTTTTAACTTCACACTAATAAATCTTTTATCACTTGATAGTTGGCACATTGCACGTAAAATTCCACGATTGAAACATCTTGTTGTCTCTTTTGTTTTCAAAGAGAGTGAAAGAGGACAATATGTTTTTGTTTATATAGGCGTAAATATATTTACGCTGCGACCTATTTAGGGGACCAGAGTTTATTGCGGTACCTCAATAAGGGATAAAAATTGTTACATAAACCATTGTATATAAGATATGTTTTGTTCTAAAAATGCTTTATATTTTTAAATTAAATAAATTGAAATGATATAAAATATTTTATTTTTGATGTATTCAATAAAACAACTGATTTCATACCCAAATATATTTATTAAATTAAATTTCAACTATCCTATTTGACATTTATATGTTTTAAGCAACATTTACGACCTTTGTAGTTTTTATTTGTTAAATTAAAAATAAATCGTTGAAAAACTCGAATTTCATAGTTTATCGTATCCCCATATGATTAAAAATGTACTCAATTTAAACTATATTACGAAATGTGTTTTTTTTTTTTAACTTAACAATAAATTAATTGTGCGTGATTGCAAAAGATATATAATATTATGCTCCTTTTCTTTTTTTATTTATTATTGTACATTTTTTATAATAAAAATATCTTTGGATGTCAACATATTCAAACTGACATTTGTAAAATGGCACAGTAAATAAAAATTTACGACAAAATTAATCTACATTTTGCGACATAAATCTATTATTATTTTTCATTATCGCTGATTTTAAATCCAATACAAAATGAACTTTGGTCTCTGCATATTCCTTAAAGATAAGAACATATTTATTTGATAAATAACATACAATATATTATATGGAGCGTCGGTGGCTCGGTGGTCAAGCACTTGACTTGCAATCTGCAGGTCTTGGGTTCGAATCTCGCCATGTACCAATGTGTTTTTCGATTTCCGATTTACATATGTACATTTATCTGACGTTCTTACGGTGAAGGAAAACATCGTGATGCAACCTGCACATATCAGAGAATAAATTCAAAGTTATGTGTGAAGTCAACCAACCCGCACTTGGCCAGCGTGGTTGACTATGGCCTAATCACCCTTAACTTAGGGTAGGCTCTGAGCCCCTCGGTGGGGACATATAGTGAGCTGATGATAAAATTAAAATATAATATATTATTGCTCCATAAATTATTCGAGAATAAATAATATTGGATGTCCTTTAAATAAATAAGAAATTTAAAATATCATATACCGTTGACCATTTTATTTTTAACATATTGCTTTAAAAACTTTAAATAACTAACTAACTAAAGGATTAAAGTAGTAAAACACTTAATATTAACTCCCCCAATATTTTTGTATAGATATGTATGTATGTTATAATGACATCTGATAACTTAGACATAAAATTTTTATAGTGCTATTGATTTTATATACGAAATTTAAGTAATTATGTAAAAATTCTTTTCTTATAACAAATTGTGTATCTCCTAAATAACTGTGGATTTCCACTGTCACAACACTTGTATAAAAACAATCAGCGTTCCATTGATCTTTGAAATAATAGACATCACAAAATTTCAATACAAATTATCAATGCAGTATACTTTTAAAGTAATAATAAAGGTACGTGTCCATTCCCGCGAACGCACCGGACGCACGGCACGCAACGAGATACAAAGAAAATCCGTTTTATCCGTGCGATGCGTGCGAATGAACGCGTACCTTTATTCAGACGCTAGTGACTTACAAAGGTTTTCTGGCTTTTACAAGTTCCTCACTAATATTCCACAGTTTAATTTCTTCTTCCTTCTTAAATGGATATTTGGAGTCGTATTCAACACAATCACGATAGAACTTTCCAGTCTGACCCTCTATACCATAGTCTGTTGCGCAGTATACTATCGTCTCGGAACCCTGGAATTATATATTTAATTTAATTTACAGCAATAGTAATTTACTAATAAGGAAACGTACCCATACTATGTGACCCGTTTAAGGGGGGGATCCTTAAAATACTGCGGTCAGTCACTGGATTTCTGGACACTGGATTCAGATTTTAATCACGTATTCGTTAGTTTTTTTAATTTAAGTATGCATGCAGTCTTATGCTATAAAGAAGAGTATGAGCCAAATATTTTTTTTTTCAATTTTTGCCTGTGAAATGATTAAAAATCATAATTATGAATTACTACGTAAAAACTAGAGAGGGGAGGGGGGTCGTGGCATGTACTACGAGTGGTCATCGAGGGGTCGAAAAAACTAAAAAAAAAAATAGGTCACGTATGGGTATGTTCCCTAAGGCCGTTTATTACATTAACAGAATATTTAAAATTTACTAATATATTACAAGATATTGCAAAAGACTTCGCGGAAATATAAACTTAGTAGTCTATGAGTTATTCCAGTAATCTAGCTCTGTCGCAAATTTCATCCAGATTCCACCAAAACTTTCGCATTTATAATATTAATATATTTTAAATTATTCCAATTAAGGTAGGCTTGTAATAGAATATCGTGCATATCACTTGAATGGGGAACAAACGGTATTCGAACCTTCTTAGGTTCGAATACCGTTTGTTCCCCATATCCCCATATCACTATATGCTCGGATGTCCGTACTTAAAAAACAGGCCATTTGTGATTCACGAACTTGATATTTGCAATCTAAAATGCAATGCAATCTTATTCATATACATTCTCGAATAACATATTATCCTTGATAAGATAGTATGGATATAGTCCTTAACATGTGATCTTGTTCTTTAACATTACGAATTTTATTGCTGTTTTAAAAAAAATGGAAGAACAAGTAGGAAACAATGGCTAATCTATGCATGACGTCATAGTTTCTAAAATGTGTGTGACAATGTATTAGTCTAGACAAGTAAAACATATGAGTAATGATATTGGCAAATAATAGAACAGATTCACGACCTTGATGTTTCCAGTTCTTTGTACCTTTGTAGAATATTAAACATTATAAATTGTTTTAGCAAACATTTAAACTTAAAAAAAAAAAATTACTCGGGAAATTTATTAGGCAATATTCTTATTAAGTACTAGCTGTCGCCCGCGACTCCGTCCGCGCGGAATTAAATAACATTACTAGCCTATGTGTTTTTCCAAATTATATTCTATAAGTTTGCCAAATTTCATCAAGATCCATTCAACCGTTCCGGAGATAACTTCAAACAAACATCCATCCATCTAAACATTCGCATTTATAATATAAGTAAGAAGTAAGATCATGTTTTATTTGTAATTTTAAAACAACTTTACATATAAGCTATTATTGTAACTCAAGAACAACATATTTTATTACAATGTATTCTAAAGATATAACTATGTTAATTATTTCCTCAGTGTAAAGTACATACAGAATCAATCATCTGTAACATAAATAGATATCATATCTAACAAACATATTAAATACAATTGAAACTGAAACAAGAGTCCAAGAGAACACAATATTTTTCTCTTAGCCGAATTTCTCACTTATAGAGGTCATCAGAGATCGGACAATGACTCTCTATACAAGTTTCTCGCTTATTCAGGTTGTATTGTACATGCAAACTTCTTAGATAGCATTTTCCATTGCTAAAAACAGAATCTGACATTACGGCATAAAGGAAAGAAAATTAACCTAAGTCCTTTTCAAACTAAAAGTACTCGTAATTTAAGCGTAAGTTGTAAAAGTGTTGTCAAAAGTAATCCTGATCTTTGCTAAAACTATATAAAAACAAATGTTCAATTATTTACCTGTTTCGCAGACTTCATATACATTAATGCTACTGGCAACATTATTAAATAATGATACCATCTCACTGACAACCTGAAATAAAAAAAAAATGATACTTTAAAAAGATAATATGCATACATTTTAATTATGAATATATTAATTGATATTTACAGACAGTTAAGTTAACAATGGACTTTGTCTTATGTTGACGTGTAATATGAACACTTGAATATTTTAAAGGCAAGTTCATTGTTTTTTTTTATAGTAGCGATGTCTAAAATTGAGAGCTTTGTTTCCTCTTATAGGTAGGTGACAAAATAAGCAATGTTTATGGTCTGTGTAACTATAGATCACACTTTAACTCCCCTTCCCTTGGTAAGCAATGTTTGAAATTGGCCACAAACGCCCCGAAAGAAAGTAGTATTTTAAATAATTACCTAAACAGATTGGTGTAGCAGAAACCAGGGCAACAAGTATACACATCAACACCTGTATCTCTCAATTTGTCAGCCAGTGCTCTTGCAAAGTAGACATTCATCAGTTTAGAGTTGGAATAACCCAGGTTGTGACGCGCCTTCACTTGTCCCTTCTTAGCTCTTTCGATTTCACCTCTTAAGTTCAAATCATTAAAATCAATCTTTGCCCTTTCATGAAGTGTAGACGACACCACTACAATTCTGAAAAATTACAAAAATTACAATTCTATGTATATTTTTTTGCAATAGTGCACAGATAATGTCAATAATATGTTATACAAAACAAGCTTAGTAAAATTGTACAATTATTATTAACAGTTTAAGTTATGCAAAATATTCACAAGGAAATAAATATTGTAATTATTCAATTATGTTCTTTACCTGCTGGGTGCGGCTCTCTTTAATTGGTCTAACAATAAATTAGTAAGATAGAAATGACCTAAGTGATTAACACCTAGGTGTATCTCAAAGCCTTCTTTAGTCTTCTCATCACACCTCAGAGGCACCACAACTCCCGCATTGTTTATAAGCACATCGATCTTATGGAAACCAGTTTTGATTACATCCACAAAACTCTCAATAGACTCAAAGGAAGAAAGATCCAATTGCATTGGGATCTGTAAGATGAGTTATTAAGAATAATTAATGAAACATAGATTTTAAAAATTGGCAATAAATAACATTAGGGTATGTCTCCTTAGTTTCTTACCATTTCTCCTCCAGTAGGCTGTTCTTTTCTTATCTCGTTTATTGCCTGTTTCGCCTTTGCAATGTCCCGGCAAGCAAATATAACTCTAGCCTTACGCCTAACAAGAGCCTTTGCGGTTTCCAGCCCTATACCACTATTAGCGCCGGTAATGAGATAAGTTTTACCCCTCAAGCAGGTATCAGTTAAGCATTTTCCCCATTTTCGCGACCTCCACTTGCGTATAAAACCAATGGCAATTAAAACTGATATTGGCACTGCAGCGTATATAGCCTGTGCTGGTACCATTTTTAAAATTGAACTTAGTACACTTAGTTATTAACCGCTTATAAGTAAGTTACGAAACTGGTACTACGTAATATCAACAGATACAAATAAGAGATTTAAAATTGTACTTCGACCAGCCACAGCCAATGGAAAAAACTTTCAATGACATTGACATTATAAAACATCAGATGACGTTAAACGTCAGACGTCGGTCAGTGTTATCAGTTCAAGTAAATAATAAATTTTCACCATAGACTATTTACTAATGGTTTGAAGTTTATGAACGAATCACAAGTTGAAATTTGTATTTTTACTTGTTTGGCTACTTGCTAATTTCTTGAAATAGGTATGTTTTATAACTTTTGTAAACTTATTTTAAACCGAATACAATTAACTTCATGAATTAACTAATTTGTTTTAATGTCAAAAAATACTATTTAGTTATTGTTTACTTAGAAGCCACCATAAAAATATATTTCAATTTTTATTGCTAAAACTGTCCAATAGCGAATTTTATAAAATTGTGTGAGGGTGTTTAATAGAAAGCATTTTCTGCTTTGTGGTTACTGATCACAACATAGACTTATAGAAACAACAAGTTTGGGGTAAATAATAGGCGGAATGAAATAGCTTGGTTGTTTATTTAAAATTTGTTATAGGGTGAACTAGATAAAAAAATCTGTATTCCAGACTACGAAAACGATATGATAACATCTTACACAAAATACAATAATATATCATCCTAGGTATATTTAATAAAACTTTTTTTTTAGAATTTGCGATCCTCAATATAGGTAAATAAGTACAGCAATAAAATTGTTCTAAATTGTCTTTTGAGCAGATACTACTGATTACGCGTTATTATAAAGATGTGTTTTTATGTCTTTACACAAAAATGGTCTAGTCTTAGCATGATATTAAGGTATTCAATAGTATTGTAGTTCTAAGAAAAATATTTTTTTAAGCTACATAAGTCTTAAATATAGCCAACAGTAACTCAGTATTTGATAAAGTCATCAAAATAAAATAAACATAATCATATTAACATTTAATATTTTTCTAGATTCCGTATTATGTAGTATGTATTGAAGCATTTACATTAATATTAATATTTTAATGTTCAAGTTATGTGTGTTACATATGTAATAAACATCTATTTACTAATATAACAGTATTTAAATTTATATAAAATTAATAAACATACTCTATCCAGTTGGAATGTAAAGGCAATTTAGGTCACTAGGAAAATTTTAAATCATAACTCTTTAATTTCTTAGTTATCAGGAATATTTAAAGATTCTCAACAAGTCTATTATAAAGAAGGTATAAATGCAAAGTTTTTAATTATCTACTAAGCATTGTCTATTTTTTTTTATATTTCACTGTAAGTCTTTTGTAACAAAAAGATCATCGTATAAATTATGGTATTTAATTTGAATGTTTATGAAGTAATCATTTAAATTATCCTATTTAAGGTTATAAAAATTCAATTGGCACCATTAGTCGAACTATAAAAATACAGAATTTTGTGCCACTTTGCCTTAATTTTGTGAAATTAATGGGTTACCAGATATGATTTGTCTATGGTCATATAAGGTCAAAGAGGTAAGAAACTCCCATTTTTTATTTTACATCTGACAAATCTGGCAACCCTATAATTGCATTGGCAACTTGCATTTGCGTTCAATCGACATTATTTACACTCTTTACTATTTCCAATATATTAAATAAAATTCCAAGCTCCCATACCCAAAAATTGTGCCGATTGCATTTTTTACAATGTACAGAATCACAACTTTGTCTAATTAATATCTAAATTACGTGTACAAAATAATTTTGAACTATGTTTCTGAACTTACTATGTATTAATAATATTTAAGCAACTGTAGCATAAAATTTTAACATTCAGAATTATTAAAATTAAGAATTTCATAAAATACTCTTGAACATATCTAGTTTAGTTACTTTATACCATTCCATCATCACTTTAACTTATATAAAAACTATGTATTTAGTATATATGTTTACATATTATATAATATAAAATTAAACATTATATTGGAATGAAAATATATGAACACTGTTTCACATCACCATAGCCACATTTAGTATTAAAGGAGATTCATTATCAAAGATTTAGGAAGTATAAATATTTAAATTTAAGCGATATACGTTACATCTATGGAATGTTAAGAATTATGAAATGACGAACCTTCAACAAACAAGACGTTACGTCCGAATTAAAAGCTCTCATAAAAGTACATAAGCTTTTTTGTAAGAAATAATTGCTATATTAACATTGTGTCGAAGCATTGTTTAGCAATTTAATGTACCCTAATATTTAGAAACCTTCACATGGGAGTCGATATCTGATGTCGAGAGCGGTCCAAACCAACGTCCACCGTAACAACCTTGCCGTCTACAGGTGTACCGCTGTCCGAACTATCCGGCATTATGATGCATACAAAAGACCTGCCGCTAGTCGCATCTCGAGGATATATCGTCATAGGAATGAACCGGTCGCTAGTCCCGTCCACGTACGCCGCCAGCCGTGAGTACACCTCGGGAAAATGCTTCTTCAGAACCACTCCTCTACTCTCCAACTCATACACAATATTCTTAAAACATATCTCTCTAAACTTATGCGCCGTCGCCGCGTTCTTTTCGCCCGCGTTGGTCAGTTTTGACGTTAGAATCAGCGTCTCGCGGTCTTCCGGCGTTCCCTTGCTGTCTCTCCTGTGTCGCTTTCGATTCTGTTCCTGTATCGCTGCGGTGACGGTCTTGCTGAGACGCAATTTGGCGCACCGCGACACCATCTGCCGCTCCCATTTTACTGCGCCTTTCGTGGGCACCTCGCTGATTATACACACAGCCACAAAGAGAATTACTCTAGTTTCAGGATTGTATGATTTACACAGTTTCACCACCTCAGTGTACAGTTCTACTCCCATTTCGTTCGGTTGCAGCGAGATCCACTTCACATACTCAGGTTCGCTGAGGTACTGGTAACCATGTGTTGTGAATTTTTCCGCGGCCTCTGGGCTCGTGAAGAACACTTTGACCACACCCCTGCCATGCGCCAGATACCCTTTATGGGCGATGGTGCTGATCTGATGCAGGGAGCTCGCGTCCTCCTTCGCGGCAGATATAATTTGCCTGCAGAGGGCGCTCGCGCGGGAGTGCAGACACACCTTCCTGTGCTTCTCCCAGTGCGCTCGCCGACACTCCTTAGAGCAGTACATCGTCGTGCAGTTGTGGCACGACTTGTAATGTCGTTTGGCGTCCGCGAGTGGGGCGCGCGAGGGGCACTTGGGATACTTGCACTTGACGAAGGCTTCGTCGGTACTGTTCTCCGTCTGTAGGGAGAGGAGGGAGGCGCGCGATTCGTGCTGCGGGCCACGGGGCTCGGCGGCACGAAGGGTTGCGGCGTCCAGGCTGGTGCGTCGGTCTAACGATGCGCCGGCGCGAGCGCATGGCTCGCTCTTTCTTCGAGACCGATCGCCCTGCGCGGACCGCGACCGTCTCGGGTCTTGCATTGCGGCTGAATTATCAACTGCTTCCTTGCCTGCAAGAAGTTTAGAGTCATCGCTTTAAAATTATATTTTCTCGGACTAAATAAGCCTAACTAAATTTATTAAGAAAGACATTGAAAGACTCAGGACCATTGAGCGAGACATAAAACAAACGATCATTTGCCAAGACAATCATGCTAACGTGGCCCATAGAAAATATAGTCTTACCTTGTACCGTGCGCACGTGAAAAAGAATACAAATTTTAAAACGATTTTATAAAATAAAATTGCCAATAAAACGGGACCTGTACAGGTATTGTGAGACAGATGGAGATAGAAGCGTGAAGGATAAGAGAAATATAAAAAATTGGAACGCTCAGACTTACATATCATTCCTACCTTGTCGGTCGGGGCTGGGGTCTGTGAGCGAGCTGGGCTCGCTGGGCGTGCTGACGAGGCGGGAGGCGACCGAGGCGCTACTGTGCCCGCTACTGGTCAGCTGTTCGTAACGGGGACTCTGGGAAAACAAGCAGTAATACATCGAGCCTTGCCTACTGGGAGCTCGAACTACTTCTACAATTATAATAGCGCTTTGCATACTAAATATTTTCCGAATTCATAATAGCATATATGGAAGGATTAAGGATAGGAATTTAATTTTTATTTAACTGCAATTTTACCTTCCCTCCCATAAAATAATAGGGACTCTTCCTAGGGCTAGGCTGCGGAGTAGGTATCCTGGCGGGCTGCGAGGGCAGGCCCAAGAGGGAGTCCAGAACGTCCTCTAGAGTGGTGGAGCTGGGCGAAGGCCTGGTCAGGCCGAGGTTCAAAGGACGTTGGCAGTCTTGCCAGTCTGCAAATACGCATATTAGTTTTTATTTTATTAAGTTTTGACGGATTCGAAAATATGGATTTAATATGAATGGTAACCGACTTAATCGATAGGAAATTCTAAGTTAAGTACACATTTTAAACATAAGCAATATCAAGTTATAGGTACTAAGTACGTACTTAGGTGTACCGTAATAACAATCGAATGAAATTCCTAAAAATTTGCACCTTTATCAAGTTCTAGCAATAATTGCCAAGTTAAGATAATTTAATAAAGATTTTGTTAATATTTTCACCAGAAAAAAAAATTAAAGTGCACGTAACATCAGATTTCACAGACAGAGCTCACGCTAATTCAAAGCTAGATTTAAATTTTAATGTTATATATGTATACATATATTCGTAAGAAACATAGCACCTGCAAGTATTTAACTGCTTATGTGTCTTAAGCTTTAGGTTATTTACGTGTTAGTGAGCGATGAATAATGATAATGAGGAGAGAGAGTACGACCTTCTATATATGGACTGGCTATAAGAGTAATATTTTGTGCCTATTTGGTTTTCGCCATTTTGGCACTGACTGTAGCGGTTTGTAGCGACGGTGTTGATTCGAAGTAACATCATGAAACACAGGGAGGTTTAAATCATACCGAATAAAAAGCTGGCATTTTCAAGCAATCGCCTATCCATTTATAGAGGTTAGTGGAAGAGAGTAATTACTAATTGACGACACTATTTTTATTTTTTATTTATAAAAATTACTAAAAACTATTTCTGCTAAATATAAACGAGATATTTATTTACTTACCATATCAT